CATATTCAAATTAAATATAATTATATAAAAGTAATTTTAAATTGTCATTCTTTTACTTTATAGTAAAGTAAAACCGACTCTTAACTGATTGACTGATTGTCAAATTCAACTCACGATGGCACATTCGATAATGTTCAAAGAAAACGTTTCATGCCAATTTTACATTTCGATCCGAAGTGTAGTTATGAGACTGAGTAGGCTCAGACATTTTTACCATATTTCTCCCACTAAACGTCTAATAAAAAATCTCATCAGAACCTTCATTTAATAGTTGTTTCTTTAGTTTAACACGTATATATTTAAATGTTAAGTAGGAATCTAAAGATCTTATCCAGCTAAATCCTTTATTTAGTTTCTAGATTAATCAAAGGATGTATTAATTACACGACGACAATCGGTTTTACTTGTTTTATTGTTGTACATAATAAACAATATTCAGTGAACAGGAAGATATTAACCCTGTTTTTGCGCAAGTTCCTTTGCCTTAGCTTTCTCTAATTTAGCTATCCTGGCAGCAGATTTACTACCCAAAAGACCACCGCCCCAATGACGACGGATTTCATCATATCTGTCATTGAAGTTTGTCTTGATAGCTTCAATAAGTTTGGCGAAGTTGGCTCTGTCACCAGAATCCACCTAAAAGAAGTTGATTTTGTTAACAAAAGTGAATAACAATGTTGATAGATAATATTAACAATTTTATATCAGTATAGAAAGTAGTTTTATCATTAATATTATCATTGGATTGGCTCATGTTTAATCATCATGTTAATTAAATATTTAACATAAATATAGTTGCTACAGTTAAAAAAACTTACTTGCGTCAAAGCTACTGTGGTACAAGTTTTGCGTCTAACGAGACGTCCCAATCGTGATTTACCTTTCACGATACAATAAGGTACTCCCATTTTACGACACAGAGCGGGTAAAAATAGAACAACCTGTAATAAAAGATAATACATCGATAAATTACAATACAGTAATTATTATACCACGCGTAAAATTACATTATCACTCAGTAGTACGTTTCATCGTTTCAATAAAAATGATTATATCAATCTTATCGTCAGGTGAAGAAATTCAAACATCATTGTGATAATGTATTTTATTACAGTTCTTATGACCCAAAAAATTTACCTCGATTGGATCCACATCATGAGCAATGACCACAAGCTGAGCTTTCTTCTGTTCAACAAGTGTGGTCACTGTATTTGTCCCACTCCGTACTACATTAGGTTTTTTAGTTGGCGTATCTTCTTTCTTTGCGACTTTCTGTTCAGCTTTGGCTTTTAATCTCATCTTCTTCATAGCGGCTGATTCAGGCCTATATTTTTCCAACATTTTAAACAGTTGTGTTGCTGTAACAGAACGCGATTAATCAATTTCTGAAAATTAAATTTCTACAGTTTAAAGTAATTATTTACTTTAGCAATGCTTCATAGGTCTCACTGAGCTTGAAATATGATGTAAAAGGCATCATTCTGATCAACTTTCCCCTATTAAATATATATAATATAAAATACAACATACCTGTTTGTTTATCTAATGTTTGTGTAAACTGACTGATTGGTGGTGGTACTTTTAATCTCTTTTGTAACACTGCTCTTTGCCTTTGAATACGAATGTATTTGGGCCATTTCACAAAACGGCTAAGATCACGAGCAGGTTGAATATCCTGTCCTACATATTAAATCCATTAAAATCAGCATAGTAGTCATACAATACATATTTGAAATATACATTTAAGGTATATTTTTACTTACCAATGCCAAAATTACGTGTACGCTTCTCAAATAGAGGATTGGTTTGCTTTTTGGGTTCAACCTTCTTGACTGCCAGTGGCGGAGCAGCCACCTTCTTTCCTACTTTCTTCTTAGGCTACATTATAAGAATATAAACATTTATTGTATATAAAGCTACTACAGATTTT